CTGAGGCATAGCAAGGATCAGGTTTAGCTGGTGGAGGTCCCTAAGGAGGAAGGGAACTCCTCTGGCTGCTGGTTGATATGCTGAGAGGTTTTCCTGCTGCTGCTAACAGCACTGGATATAAATTCTTTGATTATAACAAGTGTACCCCACTTTCATGATAGTGAAATTACTCTTAGACTTTACTGGGACAGCACACACAAGACCTGCACAAGCAGATAAAAATCCCAGCATGGAAAAGGAGAATGGAACAGAAATTCTTACCCCTAGTCAAGAAGCTATTTTCAACTGATAGTCGCTGGGAGGAGGAAGTCACTTTTCTTCAGCGGAGTGCCACTGAATATATAAAGCACACTCCATGGCAAGGCCAACACAAGTTGGACTCTTTTTCTTAAGGGAGAGAAAGAACATAAAGTAAGGTAGGCAGAGAATTGGGGAAGGTGCTGGGAGAGGGGAAAGAATATGATCAAAATAAATTATACAAAATTATCAAAAAATAAATATAATGGATCCTATCTTAAGGTTTTTAGTTCAGTTGGGTTCATAATTTCTTTTGAATGCATTCTTCTGTGCAGTCTTCACATCATTATGTGATCTAACCAGAGAATTTAAATGACTAATTAAAAGTCAGGATGCAAAGCCGGGCGGTGGTGGCGCACGCCTTTAATCCCAACACTCGGGAGGCAGAGCCAGGCGGATCTCTGTGAGTTCGAGGCCAGCCTGGACTACCAAGTGAGTCCCAGGAAAGGCGCAAAGCTACACAGAGAAACCCTGTCTCGAAAAAACCAAAAAAAAAAAAAAAAAAAAAAAAAGTCAGGATGCAGTACAGGAGAGATGGCTCAGTGGTTAAGAGCACTGGCTACTCTTCCAGAGGACCTGGGTTTGATTCCTAGCACCTGCATGACAGCTCACAACTGTCTGTTAATATCCATAGTTAACAGACAGTCTCAGGAGATTCACTGCCCCTTTCTGGTTGCCACAGGAACCAGGAGTGTATGCACTGCACAGACTTACATGAAGGTAAAACACTTGTACATAGAGAATATAAAAATAATAATGAAAAATAAATTTAAAAAAGTTAGGATGCAGGTGGAGTCATATCTGGATGTCATGTCTTCTGACAAGTAGGCCACCAGTCTTTCCAGCCCTTCAGATTGTCTGCCCAGCATCATACTTAATAAGCTATGTTTCTCAAGACTGTTGAAAGCATGCAGTCATCCTGGAGGAAGTCAATCCTCCACTTTAATGATATAAGGGGGAGGGGTGAACTAGTTCCCCTTTTTCACTCCTTCCACTTTTCATGTTGACTCAGGGTATTGCTCAGCGGTAGAGCAAACCTAAACACAAAAATACAAACAGCACACACACCACTACCATCACCCAAAACCTAGAAGAAAACTTTTCATGCCTTGTGAGATAATCCTAGACTTCTGATTTCCTGTTTTACAGCCCAGAGGCCTCACTAGAAAAGGAGAAATTACTGTGAATAGTTTTCTTAACACCTATGATCTTCTTCAAAAACACATACAATATCTAACTTTTCTTTTTTTTTTTTTGGTTTTTCGAGACAGGGTTTCTCTGTGTAGCTTTGCGCCTTTCCTGGAACTCACTTGGTAGCCCAGGCTGGCCTCGAACTCACAGAGATCCGCCTGGCTCTGCCTCCCAAGTGCTGGGATTAAAGGCGTGCGCCACCACCGCCTGGCTCATATCTAACTTTTCAAAAGGCAGTCAGAAGGATTTCCTAAAGGATACTGAAAATTAAATGCACAAAAGACAGAAACAAAATTTACAGCAGAAGGCAAAATACTCTTGAAAATTACATGGAAAGCCTCACAGGGTGTTCAATACAGCTTTTCTATTTTTGGTATCATTTCTGGGATATTTGTAACAGAGATGGAGAAGCTCGGAGCATTTGAGGTAGAGAATAAATAGGACTTCTGTGTTCCAAATCAGGAAGTTATTTGTGGATCAGGCAGACAACCTGCTTTATTCACCAATGTGTATCAATAAAACAATGCAAAGACTTCCATAATGTAACTTCTTACACATGAGCCAACTATATTTGGAAGTCTCACAAATTCAAAGTTTAATAAGTAACAAAAAATTGAATCCTTTTAAAACTTTTTTTGCCACAAAATCTCAATTTTGGTACTTAGTAATACTTCTAACTAGCCATATGGTCAGATACCTAAGACTCTTCCTTCCCTCTCCACTCCCACCCTTCATATGCCACATCATAGCCACCATTTTACTCCTTTTTTTTTTTTTTTTGGTTTTTCGAGACAGGGTTTCTCTGTGTAGCTTTGCACCTTTCCTGGATCTCGCTCTGTAGACCAGGCTGGCCTCGAACTCACAAAGATCCACCTGCCTCTGCCTCCCGAGTGCTGGGATTAAAGGCGTGCGCCACCACCGCCCAGCTACTCCTTTTTTTGTTTGTTTTTGAGACAGGGTCTATCTATGTAGTTCAGGCTGGCCTCGAACTCACAAAGATCTGCCTGTCTCTGTCTCCTGCCCAGCTTATTCTTTCTTTTTAATAGTTATTCTTTTAGAATTTCATACAATATATTTTGATCATGTTCTTTCCCTTCCCCACCTTCCTACCCACCCACCTTCAAGTTCTTTCTCAAACATAAAAAGGAAAGTTGAGTGTGGTGGTATCCACCTTCAATCCCACCTGGAGGTAGAGGCAGAGTGATTTCTGTGAGTTTGAGGCTAGCCTGGTCCACACAGTAAGCTACAGTCTAGCCAAGTATACATAATGAGACCCAGTTTCAAAAAAAGACCCAAATCCATTATGGCCAGATACCTAGGACTCCTCTTTCTCTTCTTGTCCCCTTCCCCAGAAAGTCACATCATAGTCACCAGCTTAATATCAATTCTTTAGACAGGACCTTCCAGACCCATGCTTATCTATCCCCTTTTTAAAGACAGGATTTTTCTGTAGCCCAGGCTGGCTTCAAACTGGAGTGCCGGATTATAGATGTACTTCACCACACTCAATTTTGCTATTCTGTTTGTTAATTTTATCTAAAAAAGGTACTTACCCTTAGGACAGCAATCTCTCTTGTTAATCGAAGTCATCCAATACCTGGTCATTCTTGGCATAGTGGGAGGCACTTAAAAATTTACCTGAAGAATGAATAAAAGATTAGGGAGTGCTCTGTGATCAGTTTTGCAAGGTCAGGAAATAGCTTTTAAGAAGGCTTTGGAAGCCAGCCTTGGAGGAACATACCTATAAATCTAGCATTTGGGAGACAGAGGCTGGATGATTAGGAGTTCAAGGCCAGCCTTTGGTATGAAATCCTGTTACCACCAACTAAAATAAATAAATAAATAAATAAAAATAAAAAAATAAAAAAGTTTTGCAAACTAAGAAACAACAAGAGTCAGAACAAGCCTGGGGTGTGGACAGAAATAAAAAGTTGGGGGAGGGGTTGGGGATAATTCAGTGACATATGGCATGAACAGAGTGTGATATTCTGGGATTGATCTCCCACACTGAGAGGTGTGTGCGTCGGTGTGGCAAGGTCTAGAACTGAAGTTGGAGAGGCAAGCAAGGCCAAACGGCTTCTAACATTAGTTAAGGAATTTGGACTTAAAACATCGGGGAAAACAGGAGCATCTAAAGAGTTTAAACGTAGAGTACCTTGGTCAAAATTTTCATCTATCTGCCTGTGGGGAGTGGACAAACAGGGGAAATACGACTGTCACACCTATGCAACACTCACAGGTTAGACTATGGTAGTGGCAGTGTTCAGTGGAGAGTAGGGCAGGATTTCAGCAGTGGATGCGACAGATCAAGGAGTCTAGAAATCTTTCAATTTCTGGATTGCGAGCATTATTCGGCTAAATATTTTCTCTAGGCAATCAAAGCAATTCGAATGAGAAAAACAAAAACAAAAAAAACCTTTCCCAGCACCAAGCACTACTCTGCATCGTAGCCAGTTGACAGTTTAACATCTCCAGAAGAAAGTCGAGCCTTCCACTCTCTGGACTTCTGGGGCTCTGCAGCAATGGTAAATGTTGATAAACACTCTCCAAGGAACATGAAAATGACTTGCCCCTCTAACCTCGTATCCGCTCTTTACGGCGATGGGTCCTGAAATAAAACCATGTGGAGCGCAGGGCCACAGCGCCTCGTTAGTAGTCTGTCCACCTAGAGCCCCTCAAGAACCTTTCTTCAGCGTCTCACCTGAGGCAGAGGATCGGGACAAGCCCGGGCAACCACGGAAGGACGCCGGCAGCCCAGACTCAGCGGCTCAGCATAACGCCAGCAATCGAATCTCCCGCCTTCCCTTCCGCCGGAAGTACCGCCTCGACGGAGCTTCCCGGGAGCCAATCAGAAAAGGCAACGCAGGGCGGGTCACTTATCCTGGTGAGCGACCCTTCCTGTCAGGCTGAGGGTAGAGACGGGTTTGGAGGGACGTTCTTCCCCGACTGGTGGAGCAGTGGTTGTTCCTCCGGCGAAGTGCGGGGGAAGCCGGGCAGGCACGAGGCGTGGGAAGGGGTGGCCGCTCGCGTCAGGCGGTGGCCGAGGGCGTGGGAGCGGGTGAAGGTTGGCGCCGCGGGCTGGACGGGAGGGGGCGCTGTGGGAGAGGGAGCCGCCATCGCGGCCAGCCTGGCGGGGCCTGATGGGTTCCTCCGGCTGAGAGGAGGCTCAGTCTGCACGGACGACCCAGCGGGCTCAGAAGGGATGGGCTGGGCGGGGGATGCGGAGGATGGGGTGGCCCGAGAACTGAGGACCCTGGGGGCACTATGGAGGCGAAGAGCCGGACCAGGTTGCAGGAGGGCGGAGAGATCTGCAAACCTTCTTCCCTCTCCTGCTCCCTGAGAGACCCAAGTGTCGGGTCCTTGTACTTGTGTCCTCATCTAAGTAGAAATGACAGACATACACGGTCTGCAGGGTTGCTGTTCTGGGGGAGTGAGAGGTCACGTGTGTGTCGTCATGCCTGGTGGAGATTGTCAATAAATTCAGTCTCTCCTCTCCCCTCCCCCCCTCCCCTCCCCCCCTCCCCTCTCTTTCGCCATTATGTAGGATTTGCCGAGAGCCGGGTTGTTGCAGTGGGGCTGAGGTTGCGGGGATACTGTGATGGTGACGATAAAGGCAGGGATATGGCGTGACCTAGAGTAGCGATAGGGGTTGGGGAGCCATAGATAAGGATGGGGCAAAGCCCTACGGGATAAAGGCCGACGTAGACGGTGACCGCAGTGGAGGCAGGCGGGGAGGAGGGGGAGGGCGTGTGGCTAGGGTGGCAGAGGCGATGCCTGTGCGGCCAGGAGCTGCCAGGCTTCGGGTTTCCCGCGGGGAGGAGCTAGTCTGCAGTGGGCGGAGCTACGAGCTGGGCCGGGCTTAGGCTGCGCGCTTCTGTCGGTGGCCCTCTTTCTCTAGCTGCCCAGACTGTGGCTGCCAGCCCGAGCCATGGGCTGCCGGGCTCTCCTGCTCCTGCCTTTCCTATCCCTCGGGGCCGCCACGACGATCCGGTCTAGGTCAGAGACCCTGAGCAGCCTGAGCTTGCCAACCAGCCCCACACCCGACCCTGCTGTAGCCTATAGCTACTCAGTTCTTTACTTTGAACAGAAGGTAAGCGGAGGCTGGGAAGTAGGGATTCCAAGTCCCAGGTACCAACCGCCCATACCTTGCTTGGCTAGTAAAGCTGGATGGAGCACCGCCGCCCACTTCAAATTCTAACTCTAATACTCAGGACTTGCTTTGGTTTTAGTTCACATTTTCTGGAGGGTGGCCTTAAGACCTACTTTAAAATTTATCAATAAAAATATTCCCATGTTCCCCAACAAAGACCAAGAGAAATTTATTCCTCCCGTTTTGGAGGTCCGGGATACATACTTTTAACACTTCACAACCAACTCTCAGAGGATGCCTCAATCTAAACTTTTTTTTTTTTACCTTGGCCAAAACCAAATTATGGAGACCAACTTTGACCCCAGGTCTCTGAACCCGAATTCTAATGTATGGAGACTAACCGTGACCTCTAGTTCTCTCAACACGAATTCTAATGTACCTGTTATTTAATACTGGTACTATAAAGCGCCAGCTTGCTTTCTTTACTAAACTGCTCCTCTCAGCTGAAATGTTCCCTTTAGAGGTTGAAGGTCCGTATTCAGATCTGAGGTGAGTGCAAGGATCAGGTCTCTAACTTGAGTTCACAGTTTTAAGCGGCTCCAATGCCTTTCTACTTGGCTGTAGCATGAGGCATTGCCCAATTGGACTGAATGGAAAAGTACCTGTGCGCTCTGAAATGACAAGGAACACTTACAAGCCTGTATTTCTAGGAGTCGTAGGCATGAATGGGCAAGGCACTGGGATTAGAAAGAGTGCAAGAGTCTGAGCTTGGCTTTAGAAATTGCAGCAAGATCCCGGCCTAACTTTGTAATCTTGGACAGGTTACACTTAGTTTCTGAGCCACCTTTCTTGACTTAACGAAGGCTGTAGTGATGGTTCAATGAGCGCAGGTAACATACCCCTAGCAGAGTAGCTGTCCGAAGTTGGCAGTTATGGATGCATGGTTACTAATGTGAAGTTTGAATAGGAGTTTGGTGAAGAGGGATCGCATGGAGTTGTAGAACAATTTATTTTTGAAGTTTTAAAAAACCCTAGAAATTTAAGTGTGGGTTTATCACACAGAGACAATATTTCCATTTTAACAGAGGTAGCAGAAGTCTTTTGGAAGCAGCTCCTTTCATCTCCTATGATAGTTTCCTTATTTGTAAGTTGAGAAGCTGAAGTCAGGCCCACTGCATTTTACGCTTTACCTAGGAAGACCTTTTAGTGGAGCCAGCTACTATGGAGGCTAGTTGGGTCTAGCTGAAATGAAGGCCATATTAGGAACCGTAGGACTTCCTCTCTCCCTGGCCCCCCACACTTGAGGTGTTCTGCTTCTATCTGCTTTCTTTATACTGGGATTTAAAAATAAACACCTTTTTCTTTGTTTATTGTAAAAACAAAATTGAACTCAGGGCCTTTCACCATGGAACTATCCCTAATCTTTGTACTGGAGCTTTTTGAATTTTGGGGTACACATATATAACTTTACAACATCCAGTTATTAACAGGGAAGTTAGAGGAAGAAGTTTTAGAACATGGTCTCTAAAATCTCTCTGGGAATAATGCGTCAGGGTAATGGAAGGGTAGAGAGATAGAATGATGCTAATTTATTTTCCTTTGTATGTTTTTCCGTGTGTGTGTGTGTGTGTGTGTGTGTGTGTGTGTGTGTGTGTGTGTGTGTTTTGCACTAGTAAGTGCACATATGAATTGGGGAGGAGGAGTCAGGTGTTGTACACTATCACTCTGCCTCATTCCCTTGAGATGGGTTCTCTTATTGAACCTGGAAGCTTGGCAGGCAGTTAGTCCCAATGATCTCATCTTCACCCATTGGGGTTGCAGGCAAGTGTGAGGCCATGGCTGACTTTTTATGTGGGTGCTTTGATCTGAACTCAGGTCCTTACGCTCACACAAGAAGTGCTCTCACTGAGCTGTTCCCCCATCCCCTCCATTGTTTAAGATAATTTAAGACTTATATTTTCAGTAGTTGGCAAGTATGTTTGGCTTTACTCAGTAAAACTTCATACTCTAGGCTTGTACAGAGTTTATACTTTAGACACTTTCACTACCATGTCTGGCTTATGTGGTGCTGGGAATTAAACCCAGGGCTTGGGCATGTTAGGCAAGCACCAACTGAGCTACATCTCCACCCTATTTGTACTTTTGTGTGTGTGTGTGTATATGTTAGTGTGGGTATGTGGATATGTATATAGGTACACATGCATGTATGTGTGGATTTTTGCAGAGGGTTTTCTTCCTTAATTGTTCCCCATCTACTTTTTGAGGCAAGGTTTCTCACTGAATTCAGGCTAGCTAGCCAATGAGCTCTAGAGATTCTCTTGTTTCTGTCTCCCCAGCTCTAGGATTATAGACCAAAGCCATGCCCAGTTTTTTAGAGAGTGTGGCTATGGGGGAGAGTCAGACCTCAGGTTCTTTACTGACAGCCACCATCTGCCTAGCCCCCGCTTATACATTCTTAATAGAAGTGTATTCTTAAAAGTAGAACAAAGCTTCAAGACAACATGTCATTCTAGCTATGGGTGGCAACAGATGTCTTAGCCAGCAAGGCAGATGTTTAAATAGGAATAGAATCAAAGGTCACCATGATCCCAACACAAGGAACAGCTTCTTTCTGCCAGGTTTCTTAATTCTACCTGGGCCCAGGAGAGCTTTCTTCCGCCTTTGCTTTTATCTCCCTGAATTTTTTTATCTCTTCTTATTTCTTCTTGAGTACGTTATCTATCTCGTTATTCATCGCGTTGCTCAGCCATTGGGCTGATTATGCCTTTCAGATTGGCCTAACTCGGGAGTGCTCTGATTATGCCTCTTCTGAAAACTGCTGGTCATCTGCACCCAGCTATTCTTAACTGCTGGTGAGCATTTCTGTTAGTCTGTGTCTTGTTCCAGTGTGGGCCTCATGGCCACTCCTGCAGGCCTTCCACATCTCCTTTCTTAGTTGTGGGGTAAATGCATCAGTGGGCAGGGGTATTTTGTTATGTGCATTTTTCAGTTCTGCTTTCTGTTCCTGTTTGGGTTCCCCTTTCTAACTTTTGCCTGATGTCCACTAAAATGCAACCGTAAGGAGCTGCTTAGAAGAAGAAATTGATAATTATCTTTTCCCTCTTCTTTCCCCTCATTGGTTTCTATTGCTGACCTTCCCTTAGGCCTGGAGTATAACTAGTATTGTATGAATTCTTAACTGTCACTATGTTTGATGATGGAGTCGTTTCTGGATGGAATCATAGAGGTCATGGAGCTGGCCTCTTAGATGTGATGGATTGGCTTTGATCTACATGGTGGAGGGTGGGGGGCTGGGTAGAAGTTAAGTATGGTAATAATTAAGAGCATAGGCTCTAGAGACAAACAGCTTTGAGAATGAATTCTGTTTTTGCCCTACCTGAGTAAATTGATGAATTGCTTGGAGGTAGACCCTATTATACAGTTAGCAAAATGGTAATAATTATACTACACATCTCACAGATTTGTTATGAAATGTGGTGATATGTGCAAAGTGCCTATCTAGCACATTATAAATCACTGGATAGTCAGTAAATACTAAGTAATAATTATTTTTATCTTTCTGTTGCTTAATGCTTTAATTTACTTCTTTCCATTCAGAGTAATATATTTAATAATTGCTTATAGCTAAAATTGTTATTCTGGAAAACATGAACATCTCTTTGAACATTTTCTGTTGCATTTTTTTTTTTTTTTAAAAGTCCACAAGGAAGCCGGGCGGTGGTGGCGCACGCCTTTAATCCCAGCACTCGGGAGGCGGAGGCCAGAGGATCTCTGTGAGTTCGAGGCCAGCCTGGGCTACCAAGTGAGTTCCAGGAAAGGCGCAAAGCTACACAGAGAAACCCTGTCTCGAAAAACCAAAAAAAAAAAAAAAAAAAAAGTCCACAAGGACATTTTAATTAATGAAAAAAAAATCTCTGAATGATAACACATATGCGCCACTCAGGTAAAGGGAGACACAGGAAAACAGGTACATTCTGTCTGATGGGTTCTCCTTCCTGGAAGGGTGGACTATGAGCAGATCATTGTGAGGTATGAGGAAGCACTCATGAGAAACACCACATTAAAGATCCTGACCTTTGAAAAATAAAGTGGAAGTATGTGAAAATAAAATGTACAAAAGCACAATCAAATCCAATCAAAACAAATGACGGGAAAAAACCATACATTTTATAGTATTTTTAAATAATTTATGCACATAAATTTATTCAAATATCACAATTTTTACCATGATAATACTTATTTTACAAGTGATTTTTATTTTTTTTTAAATTTATTTACTTTTATTTTATGTACATTGGTGTTTTGTCTGCAGGTAAGTCTGTGTGAGAGTGTCAGATCTTGGAGTTACAGACAGTTGTTAGCTGCCATGTCGGTGCTAGGATTTGAACCCCAGTCCTTTGGGAAAGCAGTCAGTGCCCTTAACTGCTGAGCCATCTATCCAGCCCTGATTTTTTTAATTCTTGTACCGCTCTTTTATTCTTTTTCTAGTGTCTTTTTTTTCTACATTTTTAAAACGGAATTTGTCAGACATTAAAAGAGAGAAACACATTCTTCCTACTGAACAATATCACATTTAACTTAGAGGTTACATTGTCTATCTAGAATTGAAGCTGCTGGGGTGGGGGATGGCGGTCACACTTATTAGTGGATCCTAAGGTAGCCCTGAGGTCTGAATAGGAAAATATCCTGTATAAATTGTATAAAACCCTTGTTTTATAAGCTAATAAACTTGTAGCATAGGAATTAATGTTTTTCTTCTTGAAATTATTTTTCTCTCATGTGGGTATATAAAAAGAAAAACCATTTCTGGTTATTTTTTTTTCTATACTAGTTTGAGTTTTGGCAAAATGTGGAGGGAAAATTTGGTAATGGAGGTTGTTAGAATGACCTTTTATTAATAAGATGACTAAAATAGTAATTCTATTTGCTGAATGTCTGATGTTTTATCAGCTAATATTAAAACATAACTAAATACAAATTCACTCTAAGGTTTCACGGTT